ATCAACCAATCCACTCATATTAGTCTAACCTCATAGATGCTCCCACAACTATGAACGACTATGGACATTTAGAATAACCTAGTTATTCAAGGATTTAAACATGCTAATATAGAAGACAAAAATTATTTAATGAATGTCTCATATCCAATATCTCAACTCATTACAATATTCGTTGTCTTTATTGTTCCAGTATCCAATCTTCATTTTATTTGCCATTAACCGTGATCAATTATAAACCAAACTCCGATATTTTAAAGTTTAGTCGTAGATCGGTTTTAAGAACCGGTAATAGTCTTAATAAAACTTTATCTTATACTTAAGACTTGGAGTTTTGGATGAGTTATAAAATCACTATTTTAAATCTCCTTTTAACAATCAAAAAACTTATGACTTCATAAATTTGTAGAATAAACTCATTTTATTTTATAAACTCAATTTTATGCTTCTTATGATAAAAGTCATATTTTGATAAACCAAAACTTAGGTGATGATACTTACGTTTTAAATCTCATTTAGCATGCATAAAACAGAATATCAACATGTTGCGTTATGTTTAAAACACCAATATCATATATTAAGCTTCGACGCAAAAAATAATCACTAGTTTTATTATTTGTCGTTATAACGCTATAAACCGATTGTAGTCTTTTTAACAAAAATTTATTATTTATTATAAAGACATGGGGTTTATATACTGTTTAAACATCTTTTAAACCATTTCAGATATTTTAAAGTTGGGTATTTATAAGTTTATAATAAAACTATTTTCAAGAAAAATTGAGTTTTAACTGGTAACCGGTAAAACGATTTTATAAATATCTATTTATAAATATTTTATGTTATCTTTTAAATATTTTTTACTCAAACTCCAAGTGATATTATATCTTATGTTAAAATGTTGTTTGACATGTAAAACTCATTTTCATACACAAAACATAACATACAATAAAATAAAATAAACATCACATGCATGCATTATAATGTATATAAACCAAGCCATGTCTAGTAATACTTTGTGTGAGCCATCACAAGAATTATTAAGTCTTTCCTAAAGGACTTAAGGGACACTTCAAAAAGTCTTCAAGCTCCCACTTGCCAAGGCAACTCTTGCTTGCAAAAGGACCTCAAATCTTCATGTTGTGAAAGTTGCAACACTTAAACTATTAAGACTATAATTAAGCCAAAACCAAAAGTAGAAGCTTATGGTTTGGATTATAGTCTTAAATGATTAATTCATCTTCAAGGAGCTCATTTCTTCATCTTGTTACATTTAAAATAAATACAACTAGTCTAACTAATTTATTACAACAAATCAACAAATGAAAAAAATATCTATTTATCTATTACATCTTATGAATAAATATCAACCAATCACAACACAAAGGTCCAAATGACTTGTTTATACACAACAACATATCAAATATTATAACAAACAACTATTTGTTTTTTCTAAGGAAACTTTTATATAACCAAAATGCATTAAAAATGGTTATATATAAAAAAAAATAAGCAATTTTAACCAAAAAATTGTCAAAGAAGACAAATATGAATTTTTCTTAACCAAAAGAAAATCCATGCTTGTTTTCCAAAAACCAAAGATTATCAAACATAAAAAATCATTCTAACATATAAAAGATGGCTCTGATACCACTGTTGGCTTTTGATACGAAATATAAGTTTGTTTTTCATAAAAACCGGCAACGGAAGACTTTAAAAATAATAAGTTTATTTTTAGTTCATAACAAAACCAAACCATCATGGATCAATTTATAGATGTTAGAATGATATTAAAACAACCATAGGATGTTTTAGAGATAACCTTTGAAGCCTTTGAATCCACTTGGTTTTAGGGTGTTGATGAAGATGTAAAGATGAAAGAACATGATCTTCTTGTATAAATTACTTCTTAAGCCTTTAGGTTCTTAACTCAAATAAGCACCAAGGGAGAAGCACTTTGAACCAACAAAAGACTTAAATAATCTTCAAAAGAATGAGAGCTCCAAGCCCTTTCATGCCCACAGTTTTATAGAGAAAAAGAGAGAAAGAAGAAGTGCTTCACTTAGCCAAAATGCAAGCCTCATGCATCTCTTATATAGTCCATGCAAAGTAAGGCTTAACCATTATAATAATCTAAAGTAATGGTAGCCTTTAGAAGCATGAGAGACAAATCATGGAGGTTGACAAGAAACCTCAATATTTGTTTATTAATTTCGGCCATACCTCTCAAAAAAGGATAGATTCTTTAAATTTTATAAACTTTAAGTTTATAAAATATAAACTTTGTCTTTAGGTAAAAGACAAAAGAATTCAACTAATCTAAAATATTGTGCATGACTTATTAATTCATACCATATGAAATAATAACTAGTTATAGTCTTTTATAATTATTATTTTCATAAAACAATAATTATTCCCCAATTAAAATACAATAATCGATATTATTTATTAATAATCATATTAATAATAAATACACAAAAATGTGCCAACTTGATAAAAGTGTGACCCTATAGGATCATTCATTATTAGAAATGTCACTCTGTAATGATTCTTGGGCATATAGATTCAACAGTATGCTAGATTGTCTTTGTGACTTTTGCATGAAAGACTATGATAGAACCATAACAATTGTATGAAAGACAATGAGAGGACCATAACATTTGTATGAAAGACGATGGGAGGACCATAGTAGAAAAGTCTGCAGGAGGACTGCAACATCAGAAGTGATTGTAAGACTGTGGGAGGACCATAACATTGACATGGGTTGTAACAGACTCATCGGATGAAATATGCGATATTGTTATGTGTGTGGATATATATGGTATGTGGTATCTTGGGGAACTCAGTAAGCTTTGTGCTTATGATTTTAAGTTTAAATGTAGTAGATCTTTTTGGCAATACGGAAGAACAATACGTGATTGCATCATATTTGCTAATATGATTTTGAGATGTCCCATACTTATGAAAGTGTTACTTTGATTTATGTTATCAAATAAATAAATGTTAATTTTTATAATCAATAGCATGCTTTTCTTTGTTTTAAAAATAATTTTTTGGGACATTACTTATTTTTTTTCGATATTTTTCGGCATCGCTGATTCAGTCAATATTCCATATGTCTATCCAATGAGGTTCACAAACCCATAAACTCCGACCTTACTTGTTGGATTTTATTGGAACATGCATTGTTTACCGAAGAGTTTGAAGAACCCATTATTTCCTTCCTTTTCGCTTGTCACGACCCATTCGACGAAAAGGTGGTGTAACTTCAACCAATTTATTATTGTGATTATTGAGGTCGAGTCCAATATGACCATCCGATTTAACATGATTCAAACTCAACTCCGAAGTTTTGCTTCGCTTTGAAGTAGAATATAAATTATCCTTTGTAGCAAGTTGTTTCCACTACTGTAGCGCAACGTTTTTTACTCCGTTCTTTCATTTATTTTTAATCCCTTAACGGAAAATTGCAAGGGAACTCTTAAAATGGTTTATTTCAAAAACATTTCATAATAAAACAACAATGTTACATCCATAAACCAAAACCGTTTAAATGTAACGGAAGCAAATTACATAAGTAAATAAAATTTGTTCAATTGGCATCATTCTCCAAATTAAACTACCCAAAAAATGAACCAACCTCGACAACCCAAACTCCTACGTTACCCACACCGATCTTAAGGCACGTAACAAAGAAACAAGTGTCAACACATTCTTAACTCATTCTTCGTGAGTCAATAAAGTTGTACACAACAAAACAGAAAACACACAATATCATAATCGGTCCTTCGTACAAATTATGATCATATATCAACCATACTTCTCGTATATTCTACCACATAGTAATCAACAAACAATTGCATGTCATAATTCATTTAAACCATTATTCATACAACGTTCTACCATGTCATAAATAGTTCAATTGCACCGATCATATATATCATTTTAATTAACCAATTATTATAAATAATTTTAATTCAACCGATTATTAATATATGTCAAACCAACCGATTATTACATATAATTTCAATTCAACTCATTATCATATATAATTATTTTTCAACCGATTATTATATACAATTTTAACATATAATCTACGTTCAACTGATTATCTAAGTTATAGTTACTTAGTGTTACCTAAGCCAAGGTTTTATCCGATTCATTACTCATGTGCTTAGCCAGTTCTTCGCTCTAAATGGCTCATTACTTCTATCCAAAAAACCAACTCCGAGACTTCCACTCTTCGGTACTCCAGGCTGCAAAGTACAAGGGCCTGCGATGTCGTTCAGGGGATCGGTACGAACGTTGCCAATTCTACCAATACACCTCTGGATTCCCACGTGATGTTTAAACTGGCCATACCATAAAGCCAACACCACTCCGGTTCATGTACATTCGGGTACATGCAAACCATGTGTCATATAGCCATCTAAAAGGACCATGCAACTAACAACCGCTTTGGCTCAAGTTTATTCAACCGATTTGACTTGCAATGTACTACCCATGCCCTCTATTATACCCCGCAAGAGCAAACATAATTCAATATAGGCATGCTGGTCAAACAACCGATACAAACAACATAGCATGTAGTAAAAATCAACATAACATGTTACTACCGATTAGCCATTCCTACACTTCATAATTCAATACATTTTTGTAACCGACTTCGGAGATTCTAACACTAGTTTTTTTGGTTTCTACTCATACTACTTGTATTAGCCATTCCTACACTTGCCAAAGAATAATAGACATTTGAAACCTTGGTAAATAAAAATTTCACATAAGAGTTATAACAAGAAACGAACAAACATACATACAAATGTTGCCCTTCTCATATAATTGAATTTTATAAAATGTTGCACAAGAACAAGAAAACAAACTCAAGAAGGAAACAGGATCCTAAAGTGAAATATATATATATATATATATATATATATATATATATATATATATATATATATATATATATATATATATATATATAGAAGAGTGCTAACAACTCATCACTCATTTAAGAGATCAACATTCAAACATTTATGAGGGAAGTACCACAGATCTGCAGTAAAGAACCTGGCTTTTTCACTTTTATCAGTAACATCATATCTCATGTATAGTGACTGTGACTGAGCCTCAACCCACAAATCTTGTTTAACAGCAGCACCAGGCTTCGAGCCACTAATAAAAAATGTGTAATCATCTCTATTCTTTTCAAACGGCAGCCATTTCATTTCTCCAAAATCCATTTCAAGAACCTTGTACGAATCTTTGGAACAGGTTTCCATCACATACAGGTTTTCACCCGAACTTACAAACATTGGGTAATAGAATTCTTGCTTCAGAGAATTCTCGGTTTTAAGTATGGTCAGTTTGGGCGCTGGATTGAGTCTCATTTCACAGAAATTTCGTTCGGTCAAATCATAACTATCGTAGTTTAGGGTATATATCTTCCCCTTGAAAGCATGTATATCAAGGATGTGGGAAGTGGTGTAAACGTGATTCCATGCTCCTTCACCCGCTGTAGAAAACCATATTCGATGGTTGAATCTCTTTAAGATAAGAAACACCCATTTAGATGTTAAAGATGAAAAGACAAGAATAGCACTGACTTTTGATTCACCGCTATAGACATGGGAAGGGACATGAGGGAAATGAAGTTCATGCCCTGTGATAGGATTCACAAGCCAGAAGTCCCTGGTTGCCCACCCATACAAGATCAAGTAACCACAAGTTAATCCAACATAGATCCTGCCACCAGAATGAGGAAGTGCTGTCTTGAAAATTTTTCCTTCAAAGTCTTGTAGGTAGCACTCTTTCATATGAACATGACTAGAGATATACATCAACATGGGTGGTTTGGACGCCATAAACCTTTTCCTGTTAGGGAGTGCCTGTGACCTCCATGACTTGCAGACTTTGCTGAATGCAACAAAATCAACAATTCCCAGTTGCGTCATAACTATAAAAAGCGCATCATGGTTAAGGTCCGACCAAGGTGCCACACCACCATTGTCCCAAGTCTTGATTCTCTTACTGCTAGATGATGTATCATCATCATAATTCTGGCTTCGAGTCATGCTTCTACTACTTATCTTAGCCTCTTCTACAACTGCAAAAGAAAAAATAATCAAGAGGTGTAAACAGGAGATGACCATACACAAACATATAAATGCTTCCCTGGCTTCTCAAATAATTGAATTTTACGAACAAAATTAAGAGAAAGAGAACAATCTCAAGAATGAAAAGGATCCGAATGTGAAAACAAAACAAAATTGTTAATTACCAGTTCTGGAAGAGATGAGCACCCTTAACAAATATAAATGTTGTTGATGAACCAAAAAGGGTTTCCTCGACAAGGATACAAAATTGTTGATAATAATGCTGCTGTAATCAAAACCTTACATGTAACCTAATTAACAAATTCATACAATCCAACAAACTAATTAAAATCACTTTATTAAAACACAAAAGTGTTGTATTAAAAAGAACGCCAGGTCAAAATACTAAGCTAAGATACCTATTTCACGATTGCATTGGTAATCGTGTATAGACTTGTACACAAATACATGAAAATTTTAACTATTAAAATAAAAAATAAAAGAAAATAACAAAAGAAAAACTAAGCTGATATAATGGGAAACATAGAATCTAACAAATCATCATCGTATAAAACTGAAACCGAAAAATCCATACTTTATAAGTGAGCAAGACTCAACCAAAGTCTTATTGATACTTAATATGGAAAAACATGAAAATCATTAAAATTAATGGATTTTCAGTGAATTGCATAATACAAAATGTATATGAACAATATGCATAAAAAAAATTAGGGTTTGGTATGGATGAAATTGAAAGCCACTGTTTGATAGTAGAAAACGGACATGTAATCACAGATTAACATCCAAATTCTCTCAAACCACGTATAAACAAACAGGAACAAAATAGAATATTCTCCGTCACGTATCAATTGGGGTCGGAAGGGTGGCTTACATACATATCAAAGATTTTGTCTCCCTATTAACGATGTTTCCCACTCCGTATATGCTCCCCGCCTAATCCGAATTTCAGCTGCCCACAATTCCGTTAGTCCACCACGATTTCGTCGATGCTTCCCACTCTACCGTACTATCGGTTCACCTGCAGAAAACTTTTGGGCCCAGCGAAAGGTAGCACTTTGTAATAGTATTTCCAAATCTTAGTATTTATAACCCGTGCTTTTTTACGTGTTGGAATTGACTAGATGAACAGGACCTAGTAATCAAGCATAGTAGCTGTGAGACCCGTATATTATAAGAAAAAAATGCGAAAAATAAATAAATTAAATTATGTGTTTAATTGTTAGGTCCATTTACTAAACTGGTTAATTATAATAAAATGTTAAATACAAAGGTTTAAACTGTAATTTTATTTGAAATTGAAATTGAAATTGAAATTTTAAATTTCAAATTTGAAATTGATGTCATTATGTTAGGTTTAATTTATGAAACTAAATTAATGATATATTGGAAATGAGAAATGAAGTAAATCACAACTGCAAAATAAATGTATTTCAAAATTATGACAAAATGACATGTGGTAAATTGAACGAGAGAAAGACATGTGCAAAATCATTCTTATTTATTAGGGTAGATGGTTGGCACGTCACAGCTATAGGCTAATTTATTTTTTGTGTTTTTTTATGTTGTCATGGTAAGCCAAAAAATATCTTATAAGTTAGTTTTCTAAAAAGCTATTTAGACTAGCTTTTTAGGAGTTTTTTGTTTTTTTAATTTCCAATCATACCATTTTTTAGACTAGCTATTTAGACTAGGCAAACATCATTTTTTATCCGCTAGCTTTTTAGCTATCAGGTGGTTTTTATTTAACAGTTAGCTTTCCACCTACTACGCTAAACATTGTTTAAGAATGAGAGTTGTTCAACAACAATTGGTTTGATGTTAAGTTATAGATCAGACTGAATCGAACGGTTCTTCAAAATCAGGTTGAACCGATGTGATAGAACCGACAAAAAAACGTTTGAACCAGTTTATTGAGCTTCGATAGTTGAATTTCACTTAGTCATTAAGAAAACAATCAATTTCCAAGAAAATTAAATAGCATGATCGATTAAGTTATTTCGAATGTACACAACTCGAATATCGACTAACGCCACTACGAGATGTAGACAGATAGTTGAGCAACTTGAATCGGTTAAACCAAAAAGAAACAGATCATTAAACTGGTTCAATTAAAAAATCAATTTTTAAAACATTATGTACAACTATTAATATTAATTGATAATAATATTAATTGAGAACAATATTATCATTATCACTATCATTATATATCCCAGGGGAAATACATGTTTTGAGTTTTTTTAAACAACGCCCCAATAACTTATCTGAGTACGAGATTATGACCAAAAAAATAATTTTTGATCTATGTCTGAAAACTGTCACAAGACAATTTCAAACTGTCACAAACCACAAAAACTATTAAAACGAGTATTTGGATAAGAGTAAAAAATTGGGTAGATTCTAAAAAAAATCGGATTTCCCAGCCAGGGGCTCTGCCCCTTGGACCCCGTCTGGGGTTGCCGCCCCTTGGACCCCGCTCTCAGGGGTGCTGTCCACGGACCCCCTTCGTTCAGGGGTTTCGCCCGTAAATAACAGTTTACTTTGAATCCTGAACGAACATAAACAAGTGTGCACTCCGCACCTTCCTTACATGTTTAATATTCATCAAAATTGATTTTGGTCAACAAGTCAACCCATTAAATTTAAATACACTTAGTGAAACAGTTCACCAACAGATAATAGGTTAATATGATTAATACAACACTAATCATTCCTTAAATAGTTTCTATTGAGATAAATCTTTTTCAATGTTTTAAAATTTCATCATTTCTATTGATTCACTTTATGTGTACATAGCGATTAACCGTTAGGCGTCTTTTATTCGGTTGGATAACGCCTAGGGACTAATCGAACATTAATCAAGACCTAGTCGGGATTTTTACAACAATGATATATATATATATATATATATATATATTAATGCATAACTGATCAATACACCATAAAGATAAGGATTGGAGGTTGTGGATGGATTGCACATTAAGTAACGAATATTACGTGTCGATCATGCAGAAAAAGTTCCGTACATTTTAAATACGTGTCAAAATTAAATTATACATGTTAGTTTGTTAGTAATGCATATTAAGCAACAAATATTACGTGTTGATCATACAAGAAAAGTTCTTGTATGTTTTAAATATGTGTCAAAATTAAAGTGTAAATGTTATTTAATATGACTAATATAACACTAAACATTCTTTAAATAGTTTTTATTTAGATAAATCTTCTTCAAAGTGTTAAATTTTCATCGATTTTTATTTATTTGCTTTATGTGTATACAGTGCTTAATCGCTAGACATCTTCTATCCGGTCTGGTAGCGCCTAGGGAGTAATTGAAGATTAGTCAAGCCCTAGTTGTGATTTTTACAACAATGATATATATATATATATATATATATATATATATATATATATATATATATATATGTGTGTGTGTGTGTATCTTACGTAGTGATATACATTTTTTAGGATATGTACATTAATGGATAGCTGATCAATGCACGATAAAGATAAGGATTGGAGGTTGTGGATGGATTGCACATTAAGTCACAAATATTACGTGTTGATCATAAAAAAAAAAGTTTCGTACATTTTAAATACGTGTCAAAATTAAAATCTATGTGTTAGTTTGTGACGAATGCACATTAGGCAACAAATATTACATGTTGGTCATACAAGAAAACTTATGGACGTTTTAAATACATGTCAAAATTAAAGTATAAGTGTTATGTTAATATTATTAATACAACACTAATCATTCTTCAAATAGTTTCTGTTGAGATAAATATTCTTCAAAGTGTTAAAATTTCATCGTTTTCTATTGATTCGCTTTATGTGTAGAAAAGAATTAATCGTTGGGCGTCTTCTAATCAGTTGGTTAGCGCCTAGGGACTAATCAGATATTAATTGCGGCCTATTATGGATTTTTACAACACTTTTATATATATATATATAATATATATATATATATATATATATATATATATATATATATCTATATATATATATATATATATATATATACATTTGTAAGATATGTATATTAATTGATAAATAATCAATGCACGCACGATAAAGATACGAAATGGAGGTTGTGGATGGGTTGCACATTAAGCAACAAGTGTTACGTGTTGATCATACAAGAATAGTTTTGTACATCTTAAATACGTGTCAAAATTACAGTATACGTGTTGGTTTATGTAACATCTTCAAATTTACGGTCAATTTAAAATTTTTATTTATGCTTATTTTAAAACATAGTATTTGTTTTGTTGCGCAATTGGTCCCAAAAATATTATTTCAATGTGAGATAATAATAACATTAAAAATTTCGGAAGAAACGTTCGATATTAATATCTTTTCAAAACCTAGGATTCCATAACTGAAACAAAACATAAGCATAAACAGTCATTACACTAATTTATACTAATGGTCTACATCTTCTTTAATCTCTCAGTGTAATGTATCTTCACATCGACACCTGTGATACAGATAACTGAGTGGGTGAGGTTGGAAAGCCTGGTAAGTATATATAGGGTTTTCAACCCACAATAATATAGTTAATATGTTTAATTATCAACAGTTAACCCAGTTACCCATCCTATTTTATTATTTTTATTCTTCCTTAAGGATTTATCTTAAGGGTCATCTCCTACATCGCATTTACCTATCATCGCCTACATTGCATAGACAGTATTGTTTTAGGGATTACTCCCCCATTACGTGTCTAGTAACGGTTAGAGTATCATCGGATGAATATGTAGTTACATCGCCTGAACTCGTAATTCATCACCTACAGGTTATGAGCATGCCAGTGTTTCCACATTACTTGTTTAGATTAGTCAGTGGTTGCAATCTATACTCTGGTAGATGACTACATCGCAACATCACAAGTCAATGTCATGGAATCTCCTAGTCATCTCCTATTTATCATCACCTATTTATCATTACCTATCTACCATCACTTATCTATCATCTCCTATCTACCATCCCCTATCACTACCCAACATATATTTATAAGTGTATAATAGTTATATGATTAAATCAATTTAAATGTCATCTCATACTATTTTATCTAACACATAACATTCTCGACGCAAATAATAAGCACATAAAGCATGTAATTATCTAGATACTATTGGGTTTTAGTATAATACAACATCCTATGGTGCACATACAACCCTAGGTATTGAGGCAAGACTGTCATGAATGGGTTTGTAGTATGTCTAGGTGTTTTAGACATAGTTGCAGTATTCATGAGTGCTCCTGGAATAAGATTCAAGTATTGGATTAACCCATGCTCATTTGAAA